TTCAGAGTAGTTCCCCAGGCCTTTCTTTCAGACACCTCTGGGTACACTCGAACTTCGAATCTTTCAGTTAACAGCAGAGCACATTAACTGTTTGCACCACCTAGGGGCTCAATGGATACATTCTTCTATTTTGAAAAAATATAAACTTGTGGCCACAGAGCAAACCACTGATACCATATCTAAACTGCCACCACCACCCTGCCCACTTCATAACATTCTCTCTTGGCCTTCAAATGCCCAGACCAAGTAGAAGAATGCCATCCACCTCATGAAGCATTATCACTACGGGCTTCCAGGTAAACAGTTCTTCTCCACCTAGCACTTCTATATCTGCATCTGTCTATTTACAGACTGAAAAGTAAAGCTGGACGAAGACACCAGTGCCCTACAAACAAAGCCCCATGTTGAACTGATCAGATGCTTCCATAATAATACTGAGCTTGAAGAGAATAAAACTGTTCTTCCATAAAAGGTGCAGTGAAATTTGCAAGTGACCTCTTTTGAGGGCCATGCTGAAAACCGGTCTCTTTGTAAGTTATGGAAAACCTGTCACACCTGAAATTTTTAACCTTGGGCTTAAAGGATGTGTAGAACAAATACTGACTACCTGACAACACTTCTATTGCCATGAACTAAGTAACCACTATTTTATGGCTAATGCTATCCAAACTTCAAAGACAGCAACTAAGACAGTGAGAAGAGAAATGCTAAATGACAAAGTTAATATTATTTTTTAAAGAAGCATGCCCTATTTCTACTTAATTTTCTTGCCTGTATTCCTCATACTGTATTGAATTATTGTTGATTCTTAAAACTTATGAAGGAGTTGACTTTGATATAAGTATTAGCTCATCATTAATTCACAATACTAACTACAACAATCAAAACGTATATACCTGTTGATGATATTCTAATGAAAGTCACTTGAATGTAGGGTAACACTCTAGCTTTTAATAGCTGCTTTTTCCTTGGGGTATAAGAAGCAATGTCTTCATCCCTACCACTTCACCCAAACAATTCATTCTTAATTAGAAAATCATTTAGAAACTGAAAAAAATTAGAAAGTAAGCTTTTTCAAGGATGAAAATAAACGTAAAAAGGGTTCATCCACTATTACATGTTTCTCTTAGGGACCTCCAAAACCAAAAAACCAAACCCACTGTCACTGAGTCAATTTCGACTCATAGGTACCCTATAAGACAGAGCAAAACTGCCCATTAGGGTTTCCAAGGAGTGGCTGGTGGATTCAAACTGCCGACCTTTTTTTGGTCAGGAGTCGTAGCTCTTAACCACTGTACCACCAGGGCTCCTTACGGGCCTCGGTGTATTTATTTTTGTTTAAAAGGAAACCTATAGATTTCATTCACATATGTATTCATGCAGCACCCAGTATGCTAGTGTGACATACATTCAATGCTCAACAAACATTGGTTGGGAATTCAGTTTCTGATAATAGCAGAGTAACTAGTATTACAGACAAGCCCACCCACTGCAAACAACTAGAAAACAAATGAGGCAACTGTTTTCAGGCCTTGGACAACAGACAAGCGAGAGTGCACTCCCTGCAAGAATGGACTCATGAGGTGAGCCCCATGGTCATCCTAGCTGTCTGCGTGGGGACAATTTTCCACCCACAGTGCAGGAAGCCAGAGCTTACAGAGAGTGGTTACACCAAGTTAAGAAGGCAAAGATCAGGCTTCAGAACTGCTGTAGTGGCTGGAATCTGAAGGATAGGGCACCGGAGAGGAGGGGGCTACAGGGATGGGGCTGAAGTCTGTGTGGGGTTTCACCAAGAGTGCTTAGCCAAGGGCTGGGCTTCGCATGAGCAGGGTGAAACTATGCAAATCTTAACAAAGAGCAGTTGAAATAGGGTTAAGCACAAAAGAGAGATTTAAAAAGACCATCTTATAACATGGAGGAATCTGGAAGGCATTATGCTGAGTGAATTTAGTCAGTCACAAAAGGACAAATACTGTATAAGACCACTATTACGAGAACTCAAGAAAAGGTTTAAACACAGAAGAAAACATTCTTTGATGGTTAGGAGGGTGGGGAGGGAGGGAGCGAGGGGGTATACACTAGCTAGATAGTAGACAAGAATTATCTTAGGTGAAGGGAAGAACAACACACACTACAGGGGAAATCAGCACAACTGGACTAAACCAAAGCTAAGAGGTTTCCTAAATACAACCAAACACTTGGAGGGACAGAGTAGCAGTGGCAGGGGTCTGAGGACCATGGTTTCAGGGGACATCTAGGTCAACTGGCATAACAAAGTTTATTAGGAAAATGTTCTGCATCCCATTTCGGCGAGTGGCATCTAAGGTCTTAAAAGCTAGTGAGCGACCATCTAAGATCATTGGTCCCACCCCACATGGAGCAAAGGAGAATGAAGAACACCAAAGACAAAAGGAAAATATTAGCCCAAGTGACAGAAAGGACCACATAAACCAGAGACTCCATCAGCCTGAGACCAGAAGAACTACATGGTGCCTGGCTACCACCAATGACAGCCCTGACAGGGAACACAACAGAGTCCCTGATGGAGGAGAAAAGTGGGGTGCAGAACTCAAATTCTAGTAAAAAGACGAGACTTAACAGTTTGAGACTGGAGGGACCCCGGAAGACATGGCTCCCAGGCTCTCTGTTAGCCCAAAACTAAAACCATTCCCGAGGCCAACTCTTCAGACAAAGATTAGACTGGACTATGGGACATAAAATGATACTTGTGAAGAGAGTGCATCTTAGCTCACGTAGATACAGGAGACTAAATGGGCAGCTCCTGTCCGGAGGCAAGATGAGAAGGCAGAGAGGATCAGGAGCTAGTTGAATGGACACAGGAAATCTGGGGTGGAAAGGAGGAGTGTGCTATCACAGTACAGGGAGAGCAACTAGGGTCACATAACAATGTGTGTATAAATTTTTGTATGAGAGACTAACTCGAATTGTAACTTTCACTTAAAGCACAGATAAATAAAAAATTAATAATGACATTATACCAATATAACATGTAGAAGAAAGAAAAATTGCACAAAGAGGGGTAATGAATGGATTTAATCTATTGTTAGGTTATATTTGTGAAGTTCAAAGTGAGAAAAAGGAAGTATGAAATGGGAAGTGGGAAACAGGAGGTGGGAAATGGGAAGTGTTAAGGTATGAAGTGAGAGGTGGGAAAATCAAAACTGTGAATTGTAAAATACAAAGCGGTGCAATATTAAAGTAGACTTTGGTAAGTTTAAGATGCATACTGTTAGGTCTAAAAAAATATTATACACAGAGGTATAAATAAAAAGCCAATAAAGGAATACTAAAAAAAAAAAAAACTCAATAACCCTAAAGCTGATAGGAAAGGGGCAAGAAACAAAAAACAGAAAGATTAAAGGCAAGGCAAGATGGTAGACTAAAACCCAACATATCAATAATTATATTAAGTGTAAGTGGACTGAACACTACAATTACAAAGCAGACATTGTCAGACTGTAAAAAGCAAGATCCAATGATATACTGTCCATAAAAAACATATTTTAAATATAAAGACATAGAAAGGTCAAAAAATCAAGGATGGAAAACAATGTTCTGTGCTAACAGCAAGCATAGTTAGTATCATTATGAGAAGTGGGTCAATTAATCAAGAACAGATACCAATCAACATAATATGCCACACTGATAAAAGAAAGAAGAACCATATGATCATCTCTACGGATGCAGAAAAAGCATCTGATAAAATCCAACACCCTTTCTTGAAGAAAACCCTAAAGAAGATTGGGAGAGACTGGAAATTCCTCAGTACGATTCAGGGCATATATGAAAAGTCAACAGCTAACATTATACTTAACAAAGAAAGACTGAAAGCTTTCCCTCTGAAATCCGGAACAAGACAAGGGTGCCTGCTCTCACTTCTATTCAATATTGTATTAGAAGTCATAGCCAGAGCAATAAAAAGACAAGAAAAAGAAATAAAAGGTATCCAAGCTGGAAAAGAAGTAAAATTATCTCTACTCGCAGATGATATGAACCTATATACAGAAATTCCTAAAGAGTCCGTAAGAAAACTTCTAAAGCTAATAGAGGAATTTAGCAAAGTTGCAGGGTACAAAGTCAACAAATATCAGTTGGGTTTCTATATACTACCAATGTGATATATGAAAGGGAAATTAGGGAAACCATTCCATTTGTGACAGCATCTAAGAGAATATCTGGGAAAACCTAACCAGGGACATGAAGGACTCGTACACTGAAAATTATATAACATTGCTGCAACAGACTAAAGACGACTTAAATGAATGGAAAGATGTTCCATGTTCATGAAGTGGAAGACTTAATACTGTTAAGATGTCAACACTACCCTAAGTGATCTATAGATTCAATGCAATCCCGATCAAAGGTTCCAACAGCCTTCTTTACAGAATGGAAAAACCAATCTACAAATTTATATGGAAGGGGAAGCAGCCCTGAATAGGTAAAGCAATAATGAAAGAGAAGAACAAAGTAGGAGGACTCACGCTTCCTGATTTTAAAACAAACAACACAGCTACAGTTATCAGAACAACCTGATACTGGTATAACAATAGACACACAGACTAATGGAATAGAATTGAGAGTCCAGAAAGAAACACAGACATCTATGGTCAACTGATTTTTGGTAAGGGTGCTATGTCCATTCAATGAGGAAACAAAGGTCTCTTCAATAAATACAGAGAGGTACAACTAAAAAGCCAATTAAAAACAAAACAAAACAAAACCAAATAGCTGCCATCAAGTCGATTCAAACTCAAAGTGACCCTACAGGGCAGAGCAGAACTGCCCCATAGGGTTTCTAAGGAGTGATTGGTAGATTCGAAATGCTGACCTTTTGGTTAGCAGCCAAGCTCTTAACCACTGCACCACCAGTACCAGGACTCCACAAAAAGCCAATAAAGAAATGCTTAAAAAAAAAAACAAAACTCAATAACCCAAAAGGCAAAAGGAAAAGAGTAAGAAACAAACAAACAAAAAACAAACAGGAAGATCAAAGGCAAGGCAAGATGGCAGACTAAAACCCAACATATCAATAATTACATTAAGTGTAAGTGGAATGAACACTACAAAGTAGACATTGTCAGATTGTAAAAAGCAAGAGCCAATGATATACTGTCTGTAAAAAACATATTTTAAATATAAAGACATAGAAAGGTTGAAAATAAAAGGATGGAAAAAAATATTCTGTGCAAACAGCAACCACAGGAAACCTGGCATGGCTATGTTAGTATCTGACAAAGTAGACTTCAAGGCAAAGAGAGAAACAAAGGGACATTTCATTATGAGAAGTAGGTCAATTAATCAAGAAAACATAACGATCCTAAATGTGAATGCACCTACTGTCGGGTCTAAAGGGACAAATCCTCAATCATAGGTAGAAATTTTAACACCTTTCTCTCAGTAACTGATAGAACAAGCAGGAAAAAAAAAAATCAGTTAGGAAACAGCAAACCTGAACAGCACAATTACCGATTTTATCTTACTGAAATTTACAAATCACTAGACCCAGCAACTGCAAAATACACATTCAACTATATATGAAACATTCACCAAGAGACCATATGCATATTTTTCAAAAGACTGGAATCTTACAGCATATATTCTCAGACCACAATGGAATTAGAATTCAAAAACAGTAAGACATTCCAGTATATGGAAATTATTAACACTCAAATAATTCATGGTTAAAATTAAAAATCACAAAAAATGAAAATACAAGATATCAAAATGTGTGGGATGCAGCTGAAGCACTGCTTAGAGGGGAACATACAGCTTTAAATTAATATCTGTTAAATGAATGAATGAATATACAAGTGTCCTTTATTATTTAAATCTATTTATTGCCTGAGTTTCAACTAACAGCAGCAAGATTTCAGACAGCAAGGGATGGATCTGCAAACTTACCCAAATTTATTTGGTTCCTAAATTAAGAGTGCAGTTCAGATGGGAGATAGACACACACACACACACACATATACATATGTATGACACTGAGGGAAAATTATCAATTTTATAAAACACTGAAATCTAATTTTGATAATTATTATACTATTATATAAGAAAAATGTTGCAAATTATTCAGAATTACTTTTTAGAGGGTTTATGAGTTTATATCCCAATGACTTCATGAGAATCTGCTTGTTACCAAAAAAAAAATTAAGGTTATCCCAAATGTATATTTGTTATACTTATTAGAACTGTAACAAATAAGAATTTTAAAATGTATACACACACACACATACACACATATATATATATATATATATATATATATATATGGAACCCGGGTGGCTAAGTGGATAAGAGCTGCAGCTGCTAATGAATCCAACAGCCGCTCCTTGGAAACCCTATGGATCACTGAGTCGGAATCGACTCGACGGCAACGGGTTTGGTTTTTTGGATATATACACACAAATACACGCATTATGTATATATGTATATGTATACACACACACACACACATATATATATATTTGTTGAGCGCCTACTATGTATCGGCGCCCATACTGGGCTCTGTTCATATTATTTCTAATCCTCACCATCACTCTGCAAGGGAAGTATAAAAGTTTACAAATCAGGAAACTCAGACTCACTATGGTAGCCAGATTCAAACCCAAGAAGCTCTAAAACCTGTGGCTTGAGGAGAGCTCCCGACGGGTGGGCACTTGTGGGGGCGTTTTGGGGTTTATCCCAAACAGCTGGGGGACCTAGTGGCACTTAGTGCCCCGACGGCCAGGGCTGCCCACTGCACTCCGCACCCTCCGCCAACAAACGCCAGCAGCACCCTGATGAGAACGATTCCCGGCGCCATCCCACCCGGGTTCTCTCTTTCCGAGGCTCCTTCCCAGTCTCTGGAGGAAGGCAGGAGGAAGGAGCCCGTTTTCGCCCCCAAAACAGACACCGAGCCGGGGACTCGCCGCCGGCCCACACGCTCAGAATCGCAGAACCTGGTCGGGGCACAGGCACCCACTCACAGCACCGCCACCCCGTCCTCGTCCCCCCACCGCCCACCCTCGCGGAGGCCCCGCGCACATGAGCCGCCAGCGTTTCGTGGCGCACGGTCGCGCGCCAGGTGGGCTCTGCCGCTGCTCCCGCAGGCCCGGGGGACTCGGCGAAGAACAGGACGGCACCAGGCCAGACCTGCGGGGGCAACAGCCTGCCTGCTCTGCCCGCAGGCGCTCACCTCGACCCGCGGAACCGCTCCGGATGCACTTCCGGGACACGCGGCGGCTGCGTGCGCCTCTCCCGGCGGCGGGCGGGGCGGGGCCGCCCCTATCTGCGGAGAAGGTTCGGATTGGCCGCCAGAGCCGCCCGTCCTGCTCGGAGCCACCGCCCCCACTTAGCCACTTAACCAGGAGGCCCTGTTATTAACAGTGTTCTCCATACATCCAGCTGACCGTTCATTCACTGAACCTTAATAGTTAATTCCGTGCTCATCAAACAGCCGTTTATTGAGCTCCTATTGTGTACCCCACCTTCATCTATCAGTTTGTGTGCTGTGGTGGCTTGCGGTTCCAACCCACCAGCAGTCGGCTGTGGCAGTCGGCTTCTGTAAAGATCACAGCCTTGCCAACCCTATGGGGCAGTTCTGCTCTGTCCTATGGGGTCGCTATGAGTCCGAACCGACTCGGCGGAAAGGGGTTTAGGTTTTTGGTTTAATTGTTATGATAAGTCAAGTGTGACAGCACAGGATTAAGACAGGCAGGTAGAAGAAAAAGTTGAACAGATTTGTTCATAACAAAATGAAGGGGGAAGAACCAGAGTTCAGAGAAGGGAAATTCTTATGTCCAAGGAACAGATATCGCTGAGTTGGTGAAAGAGGAAAAATAGAAGAGAAAACAGCAGAAGGGAGTGGCTTGAGCTGAAGGGGGTGACACCAAGGACGCACATCGTGGAACCCTGAAATACACCATTTTCTCACGAGGAGAATTCAGTATTTTTTTGTTTTTGTTTCATGCAAAAGCAGAGCGGCTGCCAGAGTCCATACTTCTGTCTGAGGTTTGTCTAGCTCTGGCACTGCCCTCAAAGATCATGCCAGAAGACCGGTACCTTTTCATCACACTTATTCCAGTACTACCAGCAATCTAGCACCCAATGCACCGGAGTTATGCTGGGTCATGTTATGAGAACACTCCAGGATAGGGGGCCTTTATTCTCCCATGGACAAGGGTGACAGATGACATTCACATATACAACACGCTTCCATGGACACACTCAAATTTAACAAAACCCAAAACAGTTTTGCAAAGAAGTAAATACAATCAAGAAAAAAAAAGTCACCATGGAGTCAATTCTAACTCAGGGTGACCCATGAGTGTCAGAGTAGAATTGTGCTCCACAGGGTTTTCAGTGGCTGATTTTTCCAAAGCGGGTCCTCTAGTCTTTCTTTTGGGGTGCCTCTGGGTGGACTTGAAACTCCAACCCTTCAGTTAGCAGCCAAACGCATTAAGCATTTACACCACCCAGGCACTCTGTAAATACAATAGCACTCTTTGATTTTGGTGTATTGTTTTATGAAAGCATTTTATAAGAATGTAAGTAAATTGGTCATTGAAAATTTTTTTAAAGTTTTCATGTTAAAGAGAAAATAAATATGCCCGATCTTTTTTTTTTTTTTTTTTAGTATACTGAACTTTATTTTTGTACTGAGACTTGAGTTTTTTACCTACCTTCTTAACTACAGATTGGCAAGTAAATATGTACCCTTTTGTGCACATAATAACATTTCATTAAAACTGCAATATGTAGGATTTTTAACATAGCAACTGGGTAAAAACATACATACTACAACTTACTTTACCAAACAGAAAACTCTGCCTTACGGAAAGCTGTTCAATAGAACTTTCTAGAAGTTCTATTGATGATGATGGAACTGTTCCATATCTGCACTGTCTAATAAGGTAGGCATCAGCCACATGTGGCTATTGAGCACATGAAATGTAGCTAATGAGACAGATGAAATGACTTTTTCATTTTATACTTTTCATTATTTTAAATTTAAACAGACACACGTGGCTTGTAGTTGCCGTATTAGATAGCGCAAGTCTACAGCATTTGGATACCGCGATGTAAGACCAAAAACAGTGGGGAAGGACTTGCTTTACAGGTGTGTTTGCTAAAGAGAGTATCGGGTAACTTTGTACAAAGACCAGCCTCTCATCCTGCTAGCAAAGATGAATTGAAGCCCTTTCCCCAAATGTTTGCAGCTCTTAAAGGCCACTGTTTCCATCTGCTATGATTACTTCTCCCACTGACCTCTCTCCTGGTTCTTATCTCTGGGATCTTTCTCACATGTCAACCCTGGAGGCTGCAGCTGCCTCCCAGAGAGAAGTTGCTGTATTAGCCATACTTCCTGTTGGAACTGCCTATACATCCTCCCAGGCCCACTGGTCCCACCCGCTACCAATTCACACCGTTTTTATGCTGCTCAGGCCCTGGGAGGAATCAATATATTTCATTAGCAGCTTTTGCTCCCTTTATCACTTTCATTGAAGGGCTCTGGGTGGCACAAACTGTTTGATTCCAACTACTAACCTAAAGGTTGGCAGTTCAAATCAATCCAACGGTCCATGGAAGAAAGACCTGGCCATCTGTTTCCATGATTATAGCCAAGAAAACCCTATGGAGCAGTTATACTCTGTAACACATGGGATTGCCATGTGTGGGAATAAACTTGATGGCAATGGGTTTGGTTTTCGGTTTTATTACTCTCACTCAACTGATTCAGATTCTCTGTCATGAACGGGAGAAGGGAGTTGGCATCAAAACTACTGGGCACTAGGATTATGTTCTGCCTGTGGGCATAATCCATCATGGAAAAGGAGAAGTGTTGAGAACCACTCATCTGGGGCTCCCTGGCCCTCCTGCCTCACCGGAAGACACTGTCCTTCTGCCAGTGCCATCCCTGCGACAATGCAGGCCCCCAACTATGTCTTTATCTGAAACAGCCATTCTCTAGCCTCTTTACCTATTTATGGCACTTATTAATTAAAAACACATCTGCAAATGAATCTTATATATAAACCTTTCCCTTACTTATCCCACTTGACCGCTATCAATTTACTGTTCTACAGCCCCGCAATACATAGACCCAGCATTCTTCCTGGATTAATGCGCCTTTACACTTGTAAATGCTCTTAAGTCGTTACTCAAGCCTTTTCCACAAAAACAAACCCTACTTCCCCAGTTAAACTGCAAATTCCACAAGCAAGGACTCTGGCTTTACTTGTTTACATTTCTGCAAAAACTAATATAGCTTTCTTTGTTTGCTGAGAGTCTGAGTGCAGAGGACGTGGAGGAGGGAGAGAGGCCAACGGCATCCTTTCACTCCTTGATGTATTTCTGTTTAAAATCATGTGTTTGCGTGCCACTGCAATAAGTGAGTTGCCTGTGAAAATTCAATGGGCTTGACTTTGTAAATCAGAGCTTTCAAAAAGAAAGTGATTATATGCATACACACACATGCGCGCTATAATCAGTCCATTAAGAGACAGTGGCCTGGACTATTCATGATGAGTTTAAGCTTTTAAATAATTCCTTTTCCACAAGTAGAGTTCATTTTGGCCCAAGCAGAGAAAGGTAGTGATTATAAAGGGAAAATTTACAATTGACAGAGTAACCTCCAAAAACTATTGTTGAAGTAGTCCTGGCTTTCTGCTGACAGCCAACAAAACCAGATTTAGCCTCCCACCTTAAACAACTAAAAATCAGGCAAACTATGAAAGACACCAGTTTTCACATCTTGGACAGCAGACAGCACAAGACTATGATATGTAAAAGAAAGGAAAAAGCAGGTGAGGCTTCATTGCACAAACTTACCCTACAGAGGTAGTTACCAGGCTCCAGTTCAGTGAGCAGGAACCCAAACAGAGCCCCACAGTCTGGCTGAGTGAGGAGACAGGGATCAGAGTTCGTGGAGGCCACACTGGCTAGAGTCTGCAGGGCAGAATACCTGAGGGGGCAGGGAAGCTGCACAGAGAAGGAGCTCCAGCGATTGACAGAGGCATGTTCTTGAGAGTTTGGCCAGATCCTGCTCTGCACGTAAGTGGAAAGAAACTACCTAACACTAGAAACAACCACCATAAAGGAGTAGAAAGAACAATTCTCAGAGATCACACACAGCTGGGAATAGTTTGTGCTCTTACCAGCCAGAGTAGAAAAACTCAAAAAACAGGAGGAATCAAAGAGAATTCTCAAAAGAATATCAACTTAGTAGAGAGGCTAACTTAGACTGAGACTAAAAGCTGTTCTCAAACCACCCTAACAAAGCTTAAATGCAGGCCTCCAAATGATCCATTGATTTAAAGTAAATTAACTTATAAAGAAGGAGATTTTCACTGAAATCCTAGAGAAACTAGTGTTATGGATTGAATTTTGTCCCATTCTTGTGAAAACACTGGACTGATACTCCACTAGAAATTATAACAAAGAATTTTAATGAATGAAAAGAAAAATAAGATCATTTCACAAAATGGAGAATCATACTGGCACTCAAACAAGAGGCAGTGTGTGTTCTGGCTTGCAGGGAAGGCAGTGAGGTATTTATCAGGCAAAGCAAACAAAGGCAAAACAGTTTCACATCAAGGGGGTGCAAGGGAAGGAAGAAAAAATTTACAAGGGATTGTCAAACTACAAACTTTCCTAATATCAATTTCTAGCCTACCATCAATCTCTTATTTCCCAATACAAACTGACTAAAGCAATATTTCTAAAGCAAGCTCTGTAAACATTCCTGATACAGGTGTTTATCAATTGATTGTAGGCTGGTGGTTCAACCTTATTTGGAGTTCATGAAATGTAAAAGGTGATCAT